TGTCTTGTTTTGCCAGACTCCCCTGGAGGTCGCCCAGCAGGCCGTCGATGCAGATGTTCACTGCGTCGGGGTCAGCACGCTCGCTGCGGGACACAAGACCCTCGTCCCAGAGCTCATCAAGGAGCTCCGGAAGCTCAACAGACCGGACATCCTCGTCATCTGTGGAGGTGTCATCCCGCCACAGGTAGCCTCCTAAAAGTCAACGCACAAAGATGCTTTGAAACTTGCTTTCATCCAGCGTTCGTGAGCAACGTGTTATTGCTCGCTGCTTTCGGTTTGCTCTGTCTGTGCAACTTCAGCTTTGCCGTTTGGAAGCCGAACATCACGGCAGCGCGATAGGGAGTTTAATGGAAAATGGCGGCAGTGGAAGCTAAAAAGTGCTAATATTTATTAACATGTGACCTCGATTGAGCAGACACTGTTCAGCTATGCTCGGTGGGGAAGCAGTGGAGCAGTATAATGCCGATTCCTCTGCGACTGTTCTCGACAAGTCTGCACAGATGGCCTCCAGCGTGACCACCGGCTTTCTTGAGGGCATGAAAATATGTTGTGTTGAATTGTGTGACGAGCATGCGGAAGCATATGAAGTGTTTTTTTGCTGTCATGTTCACAAAGAGGCAAGCCGTCATAATCCTTGTTGTAGAGGATTATAATTAACACCACTAATAAAACTAGGATTTCTATAATTGTCGTATTTCCTGCCATCCTCTTCTTGCTGTTGTTCATTCTGGGGGGTTCTTGCGGTCGTAATAATCAACTACAGCGGTATTAATAGCATGAGCGCATCGTTCTAACTCCAGATTATAATTGTTCCTCTGCTCCACCGATTTAAACTGTCTTCTACCTCCGTGCCTTCGCAGGACTACGAGTTCTTGTACCAGAGCGGCGTCTGCGCCATCTTCGGACCGGGAACCAGGATCCCGCAAGCTGCAGTGGAGGTTATTGACAACATTGAGAAGAGCCTGGAAAACATACGGCAGGCCATGTAAACACAAACAACAAAAACTACGTGTTTATTTGTGACACAAATGAGAGGCCACACTTCAGTATGTTATCTGTTTGAGCTGTACAGTGAGAATGTAAAAGAGCAAAGTGTCATTCCCCGCTGTGAGTTCACTGTCAGAGTGTTGCATTGAAATTTGACTCATAGTTACTTTTAGTTTTATTTTTCTCACAGTATCACTCAAAATCTACAGATGCAGCGTCACACATAACAGTAAATGGGGATTTAATGAGCTGATTTCCTCTTTGCAGCAGGCCTGTGTGTGAATTGCATTGATTGGAAGGTTGATAATATCCTGTAAATATCCCAGAAATTCCAGAGTATGAAATACCCACACTTAAGCAAAAGCATTAAACGTACACTGTATTTGTTCAGATTGTTATGTGACAGAAATTCAGCCTCAGATAAGCATTTTTTTTTTCACTGGACAACACTACAAACCCGCTCTGTTATTGTGAAATGTTTGTGGGTAATTTACAATTATCCAGCAGGGCAGGATTACTGTCAGTGTGGTGGACATGGACCGTTATCCCTGCCTCTTCTTTTCATGGATGTTATCATCCAGACAGTGGCCTTCTGATCTCATCAATTTAATTTAACCAGCTTGTGTTCAAGGACAAACACACAGAACACTGGTCGCAATGTGTGAAGCAGTCGGAAATAGTATTTTTGTACTTGTTGTTCTGAATCAGGTTTGATCTCAATAAAGTCTGTGAATCTCAGAAACACGTGTCATGTGTACAGGTTATGGGAACTGCAGCACTTTTTCAGAGATGGTTTTTAGAAATATTTTCGCTTCACGGTAATATCTCAAAGGAAGGATGATTTGATTACCTTGTCAAGGACTGTGACTCCTTGCAGCACTTAAATCGGGATTATTTTATCTTGCTAAAGTGCACAGCTGTTGAAGCAGACAACCCACACAGACTCTATAAAAGATGAACATAGTGCATTCTTTCTAACAGCCAGCAGGGGGCGACTCCACTGGTTGCACAAACAAGTCTGATTGTATAGAACTATATGAGAAAACCTAACTTCTCATTTGATCTGTTACCTCAAGAAACATTTTTCCCCAAGAGGTTTATGGTCTCAATTTCTAGTTTCAAGACATTTTGACGACAGCATAATTCTCATTTTGTAAGTTGTGGTTCCGTTTAGAGCAAAAGAGACGATAAAGTAAGGTTTGCTTTGGGGTGGGGCTACCTTGTGATTGGCATCTTGTCCTCAAGCACTCAGTCAGATCCACTGCTTGATAGGTTTGGTTTCAAAAGGCTAAGACGATGACAGCCAAATTCCAAAGGCAAGGCTTCATGTCCCTGAAGTTGTTCCTTTTTTTATTGCCTTTACAAAATGGAATCATGGTCAAAGTAATTTGGCGTTTTGAGAAGAATTTACAAATCTTTTGGTAAACTGCAAAGACATTTTTACAAAGTATAATATCAATTAGTTAGAAATATAAAATGTGAAATAAATGGTTGCATAAGTATTCACCCAGCTCTACCAGTCACTGGTGAATCAGTCGTCCTGACTGGAGCTACAACATAAAGAACTCTCCAAGCAACTCAAGGTTATTGAAAAACATAAGTCAAAGTCAAGGGATGGTTATGAGAAAATATCCAAGCCTCTTAATATCCCTTGAAGTGCACGTAAATCCATCATTTGATGTTTAAAAAAAGTTCATTAAACTTTGACCAGAGTTCACCAGAAAACGTGGGAGACTCTGAAGTCAACTGAGAGACGGTTCTTTAGTCTGATGGAGCTTTTTGATCATCACACTCGACCCTACATTTGGTGGACAACAAACACATCATCCTCACCGTGAAGCACGGTGGTGACAGCATCATAACGTGGGGATGCTTCTCTGCAGAAAGCCCTGGAAGGCTTGTAAAGGTTGAGGATGAAATTTATGCAGCAAAGTGCAGGAAAACCCCTGAGGACAACCTGATGCAGTTTGCAAGAGAAAAGCCACTTGGGAGAGAATTTGTATTCCAGCAAAACAAGAACCAAAAAACATACAGCTAAAGCATGCATAAACGGTTTTAAGAGGTGAATGCTGTGGAGTGGTCGAGTAAGAGGTCAGACCTCACCGAACTGAGAATTTGCAGGTGAAGAGCCGTTCAATCCGAGTGCAATCTGATTGAGCAATTTTGCAAAGAAGAGTGGAGTAAAATTAGAGTCTGAGTGTGTCAGGCTGATTGACACACGACCACACAGCCTCGAAGCTGTACCTGTAGCTACAGGTGCATCAACTAAATACTAACTAGAAAGAGGTGAATACTTATGCAATCATCCATCCATCCATTATCTATACACCGCTTAATCCTCACGAGGGTCATGGGGGGCTGGAGTCTATCCCAGCTGACTCAGGGTGAAGGCAGGTTCACCTGGACAGGTCACCAGTCTATCACAGGGCTACACTTAGAGACAGACAACCAAGCACACTCACATTCACACCTACGGACAATTTAGAATCACCAATTAACCTCAACATGTTTTTGGACTGTGTGGGAGGAAGCCAGAGAACCCGGAGAGAACCCATGCTGCACGGGGAGAACATGCAAACTCCACGCAGAAAGATTCTGGTGCCCCCACCGGGACGCGACCTTCTTGCTGCGAGGCAACAGTGCTCTTATGCAATCACCTATTGTATATTTGTAATTACATTACTTTATAGAAATCCGCTTTCTTTTTTTTTTTTTTTTACATGAAAAAGCCTGTTTTTGTAAATATATGTTTAAAAAAAAACAAAAACAAATGATACTATCATTAAATGGATCATGATTCAGTGTTTAAAAGCACTAAGAGGAGAAAACTTCCACAGGGAGTGAACCATGCTGTACAAATGGCCTTTCCCTCCAGAGATATTCTATAGATGCAATCATTTAGGGTTCCAGCTGGTTGTTGCTGGCTTAGAATAAGAATCAATAGAACCCAACACGTTCCTTGCTCGCTCACAGAGTCCGCCTCGACTCATTTCTAATAAACAACTCAATTTTACGATATGCCACTCTGTATTTATTACACTAGAGAGATAAAGGAAATCCTACAAGTCCTCCGGTGCAGTGGTAGCTGTTCTTTTCAGCCACATAAGGGCTGACACTTGGCACCGTCTGCTGCTTCACTACTTTGGCACAGACTGAAATGTCTCAACAGCTATTGAATGGATTGCCTTTATATTACGCCACAACCTTTTTCGGGTCATAAGTGATGACTGAGAGACTCTTGTGTGAGCCTACACATTGTTGTTTTTTATAAAATCCTGCACTTTTCAAGAGGATGGCACACTTACGAAGGCTGTATCTGAAGCGCATAGACTTCTAAAAGTATTAAAACTCAAGCTTATGGAATGTATGAACATTTAAACACGGACATTTATTGAAACTGCAAATGCCACTGCTGCAACTTGAATTCATGCTGAGCGTTTCATTAAATGCAGCCGCCAAAGATTAGAAGTGTGGGTTGCGCAGCTGTCATGGTGTAGTCACTGTCCACAACTTCACTGCTTAAGTTTTTATTCTCAAACATGGCCAGTGAATCATGTACATAAATACGCTCAAGGTTCAGAGCTCTACATTCACAAATTTGAAAAGTAATTCAACACTGACAACAGTAGTTACAAGAAGAAAAAAAAAATACATGGGGCACAATGAAATAAAAATATACAATTCACATTTACTGTGTAGAACACAGGAGACTGTTTGTCCAATGGAAAATGGAGAATCAAAGTACCTTTAAACATGCTGTGCTACTTAACGTCAAATCATGGTTTTGCTAGAAGAGAGCATGGCTGATTAATGACTACTCCAACATCATTTATTTAGACCAGCCTGATATTTATGTCTCCTGCATCGAGGGTAAAAGGGCTCTGCAAAGGATTCAAGTAGTAACGCTTGGAGAAGGCAGCTCGACAGCCTTTGAAAGCACAAGTGTCGCTGCAAACTTGGCCTCATTACATCACACGTGGGCTCTGATCTCCTGCAGACTCGATCGTTCTGCTACTTTGGACTTGATGTTTGGGGCTCGAGGCCTTGTTACATCACGCTTGTACCAAAGAGCTCTTTGATAACGATACATGAATCCCATTCGGCATATTTAGTGTTTAAAAACAGTATTAGAGGCGGCTTAAAAGTAAGCAATTTTCATTGTATATTTCGGGGCATTTTTGCAGTCACCAAACAGATACAAGCCCTGAATCTAGTGCCACGTGCTTTACTTATAGACTGTATGTAAAACATGAACATGGCTTCAGCTTCACCTGATTCAAAGTGCCTTCAACCTGCATTCCTTCTAACAGCCAGCAGGAGGCGACTCTTCTGGCTGCTGTTATTGTGTAGAAGCCTAAGAAACTTGGCCTGCTTCTCACTTGACTTGTTACCTTGGTAAACATTTTCCTGATGAGTTTATGGTCTCAATTTCTAGTTTTAAGTCCTCTCTAATACAGCATGATGTTCATTTTGTAAATGATAGTCCCATTTTGAGTAAATTACACGTTAAAGCAGAGCGTGTTTTAGAGTTGAGCTACCTTGTGATTGAGAGTTGCTACCACAGTGTCCTCCTCATTCATCACACCTGGTTTCAAAAAACCAACATGGCGACGAGCAAATTTTAACCTTCAGAATCTTTCACATACGGTCTATTTGTATCAGCCTGAACCGCTCAGCCATCAGGTCGCCCCACTGTACGAGTTTTATTGAACAAAATATAAATGAAAGCAGTAAGGCCACTTGTATTGTACCAAGCTCTTTTCATCTGATTTAATTCATCCATTCAAATGCAGAAACGAGGATTCGACCAGCAGATGTGTCCAAATGCTTCGACCCAGCGAACCGCTTCCAACACGATTAGACGCTTCCGAAAGCCTTGTTTCTCCCATCACGAGCTCTACTTACGTTTGTAACTGAAAAAAAGATGTGGAAATGAGCTTGAGCTTAGCATTAATAAGCATATGTTGCTACATACTGTACAGCAGAGCTTAAAGCTAAGCAAATGAAAACAGGTAGAATTCAATAAAGGATTTATACACGTTAAGTTTGAACTATGTGACCATTCCAGCAGCCTGTGGTAGTTCATTTTCTGTTTATTATCACAATCCACCGTGTGTTTTTGTCCCAGCAATATTATAATATATGCACAATGCTGCGCAATTAATTTAATGGTTTTGCAAAGTCCTTGTCAGGAAAAGTGATTACTTTCCCAAATCCTTCAGCTTTAAGTGGATAAACTGCGATAACGGCCACTTTGTTCATGTATTTATTTGATCTCAGCTAGCTAGAGTGGTTCGATTTACATAAAAAAAACTCTTGTTTATTTGTTATTGTCAATATAAAACTAGATCAGCTCCACAACGAGCCCAACGTCATGGCGTCTGATTAACCAACCAACAGGACAGTGTTTGATAAATCTGTAAACATGAGCTCCTTTAAGGTGGCATTTTTATAACTGGATCTGTCACTCAATTAAAAAGTTGTTGAAAATATATACATATATTTTTTTTACCCAATAAATACTGATTTTGTGTCACAAAATAAACAAAAACATTCAAAACACAGAAGTATCTGTCGTTGGTCAAACCTGCATCTTTCAAGTAAACTTACTGTTTTTTGTGCTCAAAATAAGGTTTTCGTTAGATTTTCTGTACAACCTTTGGTTCATAACTGGTGACGTTGCTTTCATCCTGTGTGGTTGCCGCTTCTCAGCCTCTTTAATGGTGTAAACCTGTGCAGTAAAAGAAAAGACTAAAGGCTGCGATAACATGGATTAGCGTAGCAGTGAGTGTGACTCTGGGCTACAGTGGGGGGCGTAAAGGGGTTTTAGCCAACCGCAAGCACAAATTTCGCCCCGTTTTGTAGCTTTGTTGGCCAGCTTTCACAGCATTTAACACATTGTGCAAACACACCTCCCTCCTCGTCCATCCTGGCCACATTCAAAAAAAGGCCAGCGTTTTGATACCACACACCACTTGTATTAGAAAACAACATTTCCCGATAATGTTTGTGAGAAAACACCTTATGAGATTCTTTTCACAGTCTTTCCCCCAGCGCATGTCCCAAAGAGCAAGTCCTTCATCACAGAGACTCCGTCTTGAGCTCTGTGATCTCCTGCAGGGTCGGCCGCGTGGCTACTTTGGGCTTGAGGTCGGCCCGGACCACGTAAATGCTGTTGTCGTTGACGCTGTTGGGGACGTGGCACGGGTTGGCGCCCAGGCAAAGCCACGGCAGCTGCTTCACCTCGCTTTTGAAGCTCTGGCTGAAGAAGTAGTAGATCATGGGATTGTACACGGTGGAGCTTTTCGCGAACATGCACGGCAGAAGGCTGACTTCGGGCGGGATCGTGCTGCTGTCGTGGAAAATGGACCACATGCTCACCAGGCTGTAGGGCGCCCAGCAACCGATGAAGCCCATGCTGATCAAAACGGCAATCTGCAGTAGAACAAGAGGACAGTAAAAACATTATCACTGAACTTAAAAATTAAGCAGGCTTTTCAATGAGTGCCAGTTTCTAGAAAAAGTAATACACTGAATATATGAAAATTGGTGTATTTTTAATGTATTTAAACACTTGATCCTCTTGTGCGTACAGATTAAGGCGACACACTAAACAAGGGTCACATAAAATTAGCATTTTGTCGCAATTTTTCTAATTTAAATAAGTAAGAAGGCAACATCCCTGACATTTATCACACCCCCAAGTCCATAAAATGTGAAACAGGGTTTCTGTATTAGGTGTCAATGCTTATTACTTATGAAAGGAGTGACTTTTAATTTAAATCTCTGAGGTCTGCTGGTGCTGTTGAAGTGATGCTAAACTTTCCAAGGCCTTCAAAATAAGGGTTGTGGATGTGGCTTTGAACAGATCTCAAATGATCTGAAATATATCACGTGGTAAAGTAAATCTGCTACAGGTGGTGCGGATTTCAAACAAATTTGTCAAAAAAACAAGCAGATTCAGCACAAAATCTGACTGTTTGATGCAAAAAAAAGATGTTTCCACCAACTGTAAGATCTCAGAATCTGGAGGTTGGTGGAAAAGTGCCGCGTCTATTATCAGAAACCACAAATGTGATCCGCATTGGAGGTGTGGCAGGAAAAAGATGAACGTTAGAACAAAGTTAGAGTTTGCTAATGAACATACAGGCGTGTGCATTGTTTTGAACAGATGAATTAAAGACGGAGTAGTTGGGCTACAGGAATAGTCGACACATTTTCAGAAGAGCGTGAATCCCAGATGTGGAAACATAAAGGTTTGGGGTTGCCTGCAGCTTGCAATGACTGATTCAACTATCAAGTTAACGTCTAGCTGCTTGAAGTTCATGCAAGGCCGTCCGTCCGTCTGAACGTTGGAGTGGAGGTGGACCTTTCAGCTGGATAATGACCCGAAGCATGCAGCAAATCCACGAATGAATGGCTCCGAAAGTAGAAATGGAGGATTATTTGGAACAGCCTAGTCAAAGCCCAGATTTGGATCATAGTGAAATGTTGTGGGGGGGATTTGAACCAGACATTACATGCAAGAAAACCTTTAAACACCTTGCAACTGAATGAACTTCAAAAATTTCAGCAGAGACTGTAGGACGGTTGTGCAGGAATATCTACAAGCAGGTATTCCTGCTAAAGTGAGAAATACTAGTTTCTGAAGGGTGCAGTTACTTTTCTACAGAAGAACAATACATCTATTGATATTTGACTGGAATAAATGATGGAAAAGCTGATTTTTTTCTGGTGGTTTTATCATCTTTATCTCTAGGCACTTTTTTTTTTTTTTTTTTTACATATCTCTGCTTGTTAATATTCATTACAATAATAACACAGTCTAACTCTTGTAGTCCTCTGTAGCCTCCTCATGGTGCATGGTTTTATTTCATTTGTTCTTTCATCATGGCACTATTTTATTTTTCTATCCCTTTGTTGATTGGTGTGGATGAGGTTGCAGAGATATTAGGTATGTAGTCCATCAGCATGCAAGAAAGCCCTCAAACATCTTGATTGAATTTTGCAGGATAAGTGGCAAAAAAATGTCTGTTTGGTGGACAAATATGCATCTATATGAAGTTATTCCTGCTTTAGGGGGCAATATTAGCTTCTAATGCCAAGGGTGAAGTTTTTTAAAGAGCAGAACACTACATCTATTGACATTTTTGTTGAATAAGTGATAAAAAAAAGCACATTTTTCGTCATGGTGTTGCATGTCCTCTTCATCTGTGGGCTCTTTTCTTTCACATGACTTTGATTCTCAATATGTATAATGATCCTAAGCCATAATCTCAACACCTTGTAACTCCTGTGGTCCTCTGGAAACATGCGCCGTGGTAATGCATGCACAGTATGTACACGTTTAATCTTGTTTTTTGTGATTGACACATTTTTTGAAAAAAAATTCCTTTGTTGATCAGTTTAAACAGGGCTGAAGAGATGTGAGTGCATCGAGCTCGCTGTTGGCTTTACTCAGCCTGGAGCTGCTTTGAAAATACATACATTTTAATGAACACGGGCTGATGAAGAGGTGCTTCAGTTTGTCTGATGCAGCTGTGAAAACAGGTCTGAAAGCTTGGAAACAGCCCACAATAACAAATACATTACTAGTGCGTGCTTCCATACACGGGGTGCGTTTGCTATGTATTGCAAGGTGCTTGATACAGATGCTGAAGAACCATTGGGGAAAGGTTGCACAGAAAGCCCAGACACATAAGAACAGATCAGTCACTTACTACTAACAGCCTCCGATGGAGCTTCACGATATTGGGGATTCGATTGCTGTGGTTCATGGACTTCTTGTAGGTGACGTAGAGCTTGATGGCGATGCCGAAGTAGCAGCTGACGATGATGACGGCAGGCATGGCCAGGTTGAAGGAGAACATGGAGATGACGAAAGAGAAGCCCTCGTGCTTCATCTGGCCCCAGGCCAGCGAGCAGGACAGGCCGAAGGGCTCGGGCCCGTAGCGACCCCAGCCCAGGATGGGGAACAGAGCCCAGACCAGAGCGTACAGCCACGTCCACACGCACAGCAGCTTCACCTTCCTCCAACCGATTTTCTCCTCTGCAGAGAAGAAAGAGAAAGGTTGCTTGTTTTTTTGTCTTTAGTATGCTGTAGTATACACACAGGGGCTTTAATAAAGCAGCTTAGGTTTTACAGAGAGGTGCTATAATCCGGATTTCTCCAAAAGGACAGGTACAGAGATCAAACATATTCCCAACGGAAAAGCTAAAAACATGTAGCTATGCTGCATCTGTTGAACAAATTCTTCTGTGCCATGTACCAGTGAGTGGCTTTACATATGTATTAGTGTAGAATTCACTGTGAAATAATTATGTTTGGGCTCAATAGTTGGCATCACTTTTTGATTTATGACAACTTCTATTGAAACTTAACCACCAAGCTACACTGAGCTGGGTGAATTAGCTTCTCCTCTGCACTCAAAGATATTGTTATTTGACTAACTTAATGATTGGTAACAGGATTTTGTTTTAAAAAGTTTAAGTTTGGGAAGTTTTTAAGGTCATTATTTCTAAAAAAATGAAGTTGTTCCAACCAATATTTCTAAAGCAGAGTTTTCAAGTTGGCAGATTTAAATAACTACGTCGCTCCAATGTTAAGTAGGCAGAGAAAAGCACTTGGAATGCTGTCCTCAAGGTGAATAAAACTTTAATAAGTTACCTCAACTTGAATCAAGTTTGAAACCAACAAACGCACAAATCTGAGTCTTAATTACACTTAAAATGAAGTTGACGCAACATTATTATGTCAACCCAACACGTCAAGGTTATGTTTTACAACTTAAAAGTTTTAACTAAAGCAGCAAATTAGAATTTTTATTCCTGCAGCATTTAATTCTGTTTTTTTCCAATGTCAAACCACACTGTCATTATCCTGCTCCCACATACAGTATGCATGTACATACACACATACAGAATGCATATTTGTGTACAGTGCTTAGATAAAGACATGGACTTCCAGTAAATTAATATTTCAGACTTGTGATTAGAAATATCTTATGTAACCTGGGTAGATTAATTTAGCATGTAGGAAAAATAACATCCAACATCGAGAGCGCAACCCAAAAACCACAAATTACACAAAGAGGATGGTTCCACCAGCGTATATGACAGGGCTATCTGGTCACTAATAAAAAAGACATTATAAAATAAAGTAAAAAAATAAATAAATCCCTTTAAGACCCTCCTGATGTAACATCCTACCTAAAAAAAAAATCCGTTTACATCTTGATCTACAGTAATACCATCCCCCAGGGCACTTTAGTAATCCACAGGATGACGCTAATGGAGGAGACAGTATTGTTATGCAATGACCTCCGACTGTTTCTGCCTTGTGTCTTTTTTACAAAACAGGTCTGCTTGTTGTAACCATATCTCACAGCCCACGTGGACACGAGGAGTAAAAAAAAAAAAACGACAGTATGAATCAGTATTTAACCAAACAGTGCAGATGAGATGTAAATGGATTTTTAAAGAGATCAGACCCAGGAGGTTGTCATGAGGATTCACCTCTTCTTATTCGTAATGTGTTTTTGCTGCTGCCTCCCTAGAACCATACGCTCACGTGTGAGCCTCATCTGTGTTCGTTTTTTAATCTATCGGTTGTTAAATGCTCATTTATTATTATGTGACCCAAGCAAAGGCTATATGACAGAGATGGACGCAGCCACTGTGATGCCAACTCTGATTTGTGGACTGTTGTTTTGAAGGTAAAACATGCTGCTTTGTCATGTTTTTTACTCTAAATGGGACCAGAATTTGCAAAATGAGCATCATGCAGTATTGAAGGAGGCTTTAAAGTAATGATTGAATCCATAAATTGACAAAGCAAATTCTTACTAAGGTAACAAATCAGGTGATTTTCTTATAGAATTCTTTACAGTCGCACCTGTTTTTGCAACCAGAGAAGTCGCCCCCTGCTGGCTGTTAAAAAAAAAAAGCCAGCTAAAGTTACTTTTGCTTGGCTTTTAGCATTTTTAAATGTATGGAAATCTATTGGTCCAACTCTTTGTGCGAGCCAGACACTCTGATTTGCTCGTCTTGTGCGTCTCCTCTCGCTAAGCCGAGAGTTGAGTGAATATTTTAAGGCTCTTATCAAACCTTTTTATGCTGTTCATCCCCTGCTTGTACTGACAAACTGCTCTGACTGCTTAGGCAGTGAGCTTCCACCAAGAGGTTTGCCATCATTACCAGTGGTGGAAAGTAACTAAGTACATTTACTCAAGTACTCTATTTAAGTCTCGTATTCCCATGTTATGCTACTTTATACGTCCACTCCGCTACATTTCGGAGGCAATACTTTTACTCCATTGCATTTACTTAACAGCTAAAGTTACTTTGCAGCTTTAGATTAATGCAAAATATAACCAGCCATATTATTGATTAAAACAAAACTGTATTGAGTTCTAATGGAAAATGTGAAAGCTACCCACCAGATCTTTACCAACTTTAGCATGATTGCATCAATAATTTATTTCCAAAACATACATTATTCTGACATATGCCATTCTGCACAAAGAGTACTTTTACTTCAAGTCTAGAAGTCCAATTTTAAATGCATAACTTTTGCTTCCAATGGCCTGATGTACTTCTACAGAGTGCTTCTTCTAGCGCCCAACACTGCAGTGCATTTTTATATATGTTCAAGTGTCAGAGGCAGTCTGACACTTCACAGAAGATAATCCAGAGAAAAACCCATCTCGGTCTGTCAGACAAAGTGAGCATGTTCAGCATCTAAAGCATCAGTTTGACATTTTGGGGAAAATGTGCTTTTATGGCTTTCTTGCAAGAGACTTGAATTGAAATCACATCTGGCTGGTAAATATAAAGGCTGCTATTTACATGAACCTCTTCCACCGTGCAGGACTCTGTACCAGGACCTGGCCATGTCTGTTATAAGGACAGAGACATTTTTAGAAGTTTGCCAACAGCGTCACACATTGACTGAAAAGGTCTCCTGGTACGCGCTGAGTGCAGCTACAGTGACTGAAGTTCTCATTTCTGTTGCATCACATTTGGCAAAGCAGCAGCTGAGAATATTTAGAAGCGATTCAATAGCATCAGTGTTTCTGAGTCTTTGTTACAAGGCTGCTATTGACTCTAATTTTAATTATGTGGAGCAAAGTTTTCCAGATGTCACTCTGACGTGAAGACAAGAAGACTTGGACGGTATTTTAATGTTCTATTGAGAGCTACAGATGTTGTTCATGTCGGGCTGTTACCGATTAAACTTGGGGACGTTATGTTTCCTGGGTCCAAACTTCGGAAAACAGTCGAGGTCTTACGGGGTTGACTTAGCATAAAGACCTGCCCACCAGCACGTTTAAAGCTAAATAATTAACACTGTGTAGCTCAAAAAAATTGAAATGCAAAACCAAAAAGGTGCCGTTTTACAAGAAACTCTTGCAAGTCCAGGTTTCTTTGTTTTAGCACTTGGAAACACATAAATAAAGAAGGAGTTTGACATTTAAATGGAGCTAAAGTGCCTCCCAGTAGAGAGATTAGTGCAACAAACTGACCTCACAAGTTTAAACAATACTCTACAATGTTATTTATTCTATACATTCACCTGACTAATCTAAATATTAATCTCAATCGCCCCCATAAATTACACAAAAAAACCCCAACGAATCCAAACATTCCCTCAAGCAAGCAAGAAACAAGACGCCTAAGATTACCAAGTAAAGAAATAAGTCATTCAGAGATGCAGATCGACGCCGCGGGCTGTTTATACCGACCTCACAGTAAAACACTGTCTGATATCAGCTCAAATATAATGCGTGTTCTGTTCCTTCATCACTTCCAATGCTTGTGTTGGAAATGTGGAAGCAGCCACTTAGCAGATGTCTTGCATGTGAAGTAGCAGCTATTACGACCACTGCAGAGTGACTCACAAACCCTCTGCACAGAATTTGAATGAATTCGTTTGAGCCTATTTTAGACGTGAGATATGTAACGTTGCTGCTTTATTAATCTGTTCAAGTGACGACACTCTTTCATGTAGACATAGATCAGTTTTTAATGCTCCTCATTGCTTCATTGAGACATGCCCACAACACTTTACTGATTATTTAAGAAGGATTAAAGTTAATGATGAAGTTACTGCTGGTTATACACATACGTAAATGTGGTAACTCTCTTGCTCTGGATTCAGTTACATATCCATTCATCATCTATACACCGCCTAATCCTCACTAGGGTCACGGGGGGGGCTGGAGTCTATGAGCTACAATTAGAGACAGACAACCAAGCACGGTCACTACAGACAATTTAGAATCACCAATTAACCTCAACACGTTTTTGGACTGTGTGGGAGGAAGCCGGAGAACCCGGAGAGAACCCACGCTGCACGGGGAGAACATGCAAACTCCACGCAGAAAGATTCCGGTGCCGCCACCGGGACGCGAACCGGCAACCTTCTTGCTGCGAGGCCCTTCACTTAAATAAACATAAAAAAATATACAAGGATCCTGCTGCTGTCTGATTCTGCAGTTATTAAATACAATCAGAGGAACGACTCCTACAAACAGCAACAAACGAAACTTTATGGACATCTGTGTTTGTAACAGATGTAAAAGTTCTAAAACAAAGTGTGTGAGAAGCGTCTTATGCTGCAAACTGTTTCTTCTGCAGCGTGACGTTTTTAGAGCAATATTGGTGCTGACATGTGGAGAAAAAAAAGCCTTCTATACATCATTTCACTCAACAAAGTATCTAGTGATGGACAAGAATCTGTAAAACTTGTGGTCTTTCAAGGCTAGTCACCTTAACAATCTTATTACAGACAGTCTAGAAGCATGTGAATGTTTGGATCACTGTACAGACAAAGTGTTAATTGTAGTTTGAGGAGAGGATAACTGTAACTGAGAAACACATTGTGAAGTGCTTTGAGTAGCGCTAAAGTAGAAAAGCGCCATTTAAGTGCAGATCATTTAGTAAAAGGCTTGTACAGAGAAGTGAGAGGAGAAGCTAGAAGTTAAAAGTTCCTGCATAAAGTTTGCATCGTTTCCATTTTCTGCACACGATAAATCTTAAAATATCAGAAAGTGATTTTTTTTAAATCAGTTTTCTGAATCCCAGAGTTACTTACTGGGAGACTGCAGATTGAGGGACACGACGAAGCGCACGATGGCCAAGACGGTGAGGTTCATGATGCTGGCGACGCCGAAGAAGAACCCAGCCAGGCCGTAATAAACGCAGGCGACATCTCCCCCGACCCAGTGGTGGTTCCAGGCCGAGGCGATGGCCAGAGGATACATGGTGACAGCTGCTCCCAGGTCTGTCAGAGCCAGATTCACACTCAGCAGCTCAGGTGGCTTCATCCTCGACGACCTTTTGAATGCCATGACGAGGACGAGCAGGTTTCCCACGATGGAGAGCACAGCTGAGACAGACAGGAGCAGACAGGCAGGGAAGGAAAGCAGCAGGATACAAAGCAGTGAACACAGTGAAGCCATGTGAGCGGACGTCTTACCGGCAGCCACGTTTAAAAGCTCCACAGAAATGCGTTTTAAAGTAGTCGCTGTCTTCTGATTGCGTACAGAGCGCCTGGTAAATTACATCACATTTTCCCTCATGGAAGTGATAAAAGGTTGTTGGATATTTTTTTTTACTTGAAGCAAATCATCTGCGTTTCCAGGCCTTGATTGCAGCACTGCCGAATCCCAGCTTTCTGCTCATCTTGTAAAACATGCACTGAGCATGAAAAAGCACACGGTTGTAAGACAAGACGGGGAAAAAGAAGGGAGACACGAGCTCATTTGTCGGAGCTTACAGGAGCCTCATCATGTGCAATCAATACCACTAAGCATCAGAACAAAATCAGCTGTCTGAAGAGGCTGATTCACAAAAGCTGGGATTTTCAATAGTCTACGGTTTGAGCAGGATTTGCACCTGGAAGCTGAAGTAGTTGCTGCTTCATTTAGTTAACCTATATTTAAATAGGTACACTGAGTACATTGATGTATGGGGGCCTCATTTCTTGAAGGTGCACTGTGGGTAAAACTTTCATTTTTTTTAGCTGGCGCCTGCAGTACAATCCAGTAATTTGAGTGTGATAAGGTCCCACATTAAACTGCAGCAATGAGGTAATGTAATGGAGTAAATAAAACAGAAAGATTATAAATAAATAAAACCTTGTGTGTATCTTTTTGAACAGAGGGATAGGGCCACCTAACCTCAGGAAACAACTCAAAGTCATGAATACTACAATTATAAACCGAAATAAATCTCAGTGCAGCGTGATAAACGTTGCCTAGAGGCTTAAGAGCTGCAGCTGATGCATGCAAGTATAAAATGTCACCACAATAAAAAATTCCATCACCAAAGCATTTCTTCTACACGCAGTGAGAAACATGGTTTTTTTTTCCTGTAAAAGAAACCAGTTTTTGTTTTAGTTTGTCACCAGTTTGGACCCATGATACTTCAAAGTCAGCTTCTCATTGATCCAACTCCCAAATATTTGTGCTCCACAACTTTTTAAATATTTGTACCATTTAGAATCGAGATGAAAAGATTGTCAAAAGCAGTGTTTTTGGCTCTGGAGTAACTCAGAAATGTATTGTTTTTTTCTGCATTGACACTAATTTATGCTTGTAACTGAGCAAATCAGTACTAAACAGCTTTAACTGCAGAATGTACATTATCTGTGCTACAGTACAGTAGTGTGTCATCAACATAGAGGTGTATATTACAATCAAATCTACAGGAGACAAGATAAACTTTGTACAGAGGAAACAGAAGGGGACCCAGGATTGAGCCTTGTGGGACACCTTTTGCAACTTTCAGAAATTCTGATTTAGCATTACTGACCACCACACACTGTTTTCTGTCCATTAGGTAGCTCTGGAACCATATAAAAGTATTTTTAAAAAAATTAAAACCAATATCTTGAAGTCTTTCAAAAGTGCTGCACAAAGGTATTTGATACAGTCGATCATGCTTTTAGAGAGATTTTTCAGTGTTTTATCCGAAGCTGTAACAAAAATAATTTTAAACCATTGTGGCTGCAGCAACCTGCACCAATCCTACTTAGTTACACATCTGTCATACAGACTACAATTACACTGTTTTACTGTATTTAAATCAGCTACAAAGCACAATTACTTTATAGATACTTGCCATTATTTTCAGTTTTTCAGTTTTTTTTAAATGTTAGAACATTCTACTATTTTTAATGTGTTTTTTCTGGCAGTCTTGCCAATTTTACATTTCTTTCTTCTTTTTTTTTTACAGGTGTTTTTTTTTATGACAGTGTATCTTTAACAATAGCCATACTATTAAGAAATGACATTTAAAATGATGTCAGCACAACACACGGACTTCAGTTGTGAATCTTAGATATTTACTGTCATTTTTGAATATATAATCTATAAGTAGAGTCAGTGGTTTTGGGATCTTTGTGGCCTTCTATAAGAAATGACCACATTTTATCTTCCAGTGCAATACGGCTGTCTAGAAATACCTTCATGTTAATCACCTACAACTGAGCAAACTATCAAAACGATTAAACAAATTGTGATAAGCTGATGTTGTAACCACATTTAAGATGGTTGAAAAGACTTCTCAGACGTTCAGACTCAACATCAGCCAGTTTTCAATAGAAATTAAAGTGGGCCTCACTGGGTAGAACCACTAACCTCCTGACGTGAGTGCAGTCCTGATCTTTTTGCTCTCTCTGAACCGACAGAGAGGCCAAACAATGCATGAACACACTTTAAACTAAACCCAAACATGGTCACAATGTGTGTAAAGGGAGCACTGATCAGTCATGTGTGTAATACATACAGGGGTGAGAGAAAGTGTAAAACAGCAAGAGAACATCTTGTGATGGGATCACAGCAGCCAACATGTTCACATTCCACATCCATCCTTCACTAACAATACAGCAAGGTGAAAATATTTCCTTAGTCCTGCAAGAAAAATCTGAATAAATAAAAAGCACATAACAGCTAAATATAGTTAGAAATGAAAGCAGATGGTCTTTATTTTGTGTGACATTGTTGCTGCAGGGGCAGCTAGTGTAAACTACTGTATATCCAGCTTATATACAGAGACAAGCTGCATCACATGAGTAATGGGAGTGAAAGAAGAAACAGTTCTCAGTTTCTCTCCAAGCTTTGATTTTTGCTGAGATATTGGAACATTTGAAAAAAAAAAATGAAACCAAGAGAATTTCAGATAGAAATCAGTATTTAGTGAGCTGTTAACTCATCTGAAACGTGAGCCTGACGACACACTTGAACTAGTTTAAAAGCTTCTTATATAATCCATTCTGTAAAATCTTCATCTGAACAACGCTGTCAGGTAAACGTAGTGGAGTAGAAAGTAAAAAGTTTCCCTCTAAAAGGACTTGAAGTGTAAAGTAGCATTAAAACAGAGACAGAAAATGTTTTTTTTTTGCTTAGTTTCTTTGAACCATTGATGAAGCAGAATATTAAACTCAAACTTTAACTTTTTACTTCAGTTGTTTTTTTGTTTTTTTTTGGAGATGCAAATTTATATTTTATCACATATACTGCAAAACTGACCTCTGCCTGAACACACATTTAAAAGGTGTTAGGAGGCAGATTTTGATTGTTTTTGAACAGAGCAAATCTTTTACGCTGAACTAAACATCCAGCTGTGGTTTATTTAGCTTAGAGACATATGAGTGGCAGTTTTCTCATCTAATCTGTGTCCATTTTTCTATTTGAGTAACATACAAAACTGATGCAGGCTTTATTTTGAGCAGGCTTGACTGCTGTAATGCCGTTTTTATCGCTTCTACCCAAAATGTTTTTAACCAGCAACAGCTTATTCAAAACTAAAACCAAAAGTCTGTATTGATTGTAGACTTCTTTACCTTGTTTTTAAAGCACTCATGGTCCTGCACCAGCATACATTCGAGTATATGTACATATTTCACATGCTCACATTGTATAAATCAGTCTGGCCCCTCAGGTCGTCTGGCACCAGACGCCCCGATTCAGAATGAAAACCTTTGGCGACGTGGTTTGTACTGTTTATGCTCAGAGCTGATTTCTGGTCTTCAGACTGTTCCGGCTGCTTTAAGTGTGGAAATCTCAAACTTAAAGCCTCCACAGGCTGGCTTTTGAATAAATAGGTTTAGTATGGTTTGCAGACACTTCTTCATTTATTTTATGAATGTATGTTCATTGACATAATGTTATTAATGCATCTAACTTTCTACATATTAGGTCTCATCATTCATCTGTAAAGCACTTTGAATTGCACTGCGGTCTATAAAAGGGTAAAGGAAGTGACTCTCCGCCAGACGGTAAATAAACATCTCTCTTCCTTGACGCAGGTTTCATTGAATAATAATGGTCTTTTTACTTTTTCTAGAAATATGCACATAATACCACAACCTTTGTCTCGTACATTTACACCCCTCAGGAAGAGAAAAAGAGACATCAACAGGCACTTGAAGCTGAAAATATCAGAGCATGTTATTTCGACAGTAAGAATACATTACCATGTGAGAGACTGATTACATTAGTGCAAAACGACACGTGATTCTTTTGTTGCTCGGGATGTAGATTTGAAATTTAAATGAGTTACACTATTGTATCGCTCATAACTGAATTTCTCTTCTGGGATAAATAAAGTGTTTTTCATTTCATAATGTGTACTTGACCTCGACCAGCTGCTTTGCTCTGTAAATATATACAGTAATTGATATATTCGTGACTACATTCAGTCCCTATTCCAAGAATGGGGAAAAAAAACAAAAACAAGCTCCAGAAGAAAACAACACCTAATAAACTGAATATCTTCACCTTTTTATAAGTGCTGTCACCTCAGTACAGCACAACACAAGAGGCAGGTTGTAAGAAAAAAAAAAAAAAGCTTTAGAAACAAAATGCAACTTCAAGCTCACAGAAACTAGACTGAAAACTACAGACGAGCTTCGCTAAACACATAAGAACTGATCAGGAGCTGAAAACTAGAACGCGAGGGCACAAAATGACAACCCGGTAAATGAGGTGGTGAGCTGAGGGCAGAGTGTGAACCACAGGAGAGCCTCGAGGAAACCAGGAAAAAATTTTGAGGGTGTTTTTTATAAAATTGAAAATGCTATTTTTGCTTTGCATTTCCATTTTTCTGCACTGTTATCATCATGGATCAAAAAAATTAAACATTTACTGATGAACTTGGGCAATTCTGCACTTATTCACTTTATTAAAGATGCGAGCATGCGTGCTGTTCTTGCCTCCCACATTTAAGCGTGGCCGTGCAATATCATCACTGAAAACCCCTCCTCCAAATTTTTGATCCAACTACTGTAAAATAGAACAGAAAAACAAACCCAACCTGGTTCTGAAATCAGGCTGCAGCAGCTACTTTTCATTCATGTCTGTGTTATTGATGTTCTAATCAATA